CCCTCTATACCCCTCTATACCCCTCTATACCCCTCTATACCACTCTATACCACTCTATACCACTCTATACTCTCTGATGGCAATTATTAGACTATTACTGAGCCAGTGCTTTGACTATATTGTGACAATATGAGACTTCTTACACGTGATATTCATGATTTTGTTTTTAGTGTTTTCATATCTTGTTTACGAGTTTTTCTATTTCGTGTAGTTCGCTCACTACGTCTAACCTAAAGATCTTCACTCGAAAAAAAAAACACTTCTTGTTGAACACTGCGTCATGCATGCTGTAATCAAATCTTGAAAATAACTTTTTAATATTTTATACGTGTTTAGTGTCAACTCGTTCACAACGATCAAAGGGCCAGTTTACAGGAGATGTCCCTAGGTAGTATTCAATTTTTCCCTGGTGTGATCTTATTGCAAAGTTAATAAGCACATACCGTGTATGCCCTAATATTAGTAACAAAGTGTGATCTTTTTCGCAATGCAATCGTACATTTTACTTCCTTAAGTAATAGTTACAGAATACTGTATCCTGAACTTGACTTTGACATAAAAGAAGTAATGAAAATTAAAGCAGTAGCTGTAGAGCTTTCGAGAATTAATGCTTTTAATTTCTATTATGAAGATAATAAATGTTTTTTTTTTCGCTATATTTAGCTCTAACTTTTCTGAACAATTGCTTTGCTATTGAATTATTCAGAATATGAGAGCGACTAATGACACGACAAACCTTTACTGACTGACGACAGTGCGAATAAAAACAAATCTTCCGTCGATTTTCCAGCACCAACTGACGGTTTTTTATCGCTAAATCTGGTAATAGCGAAAGAGTAACATTGAGAGGAGATGCAAGCATGAATGGAGGCCATTACTTCACAATTTACCACGCATTCTATTGGGTACAATACCGGTCGCTGAGGAGCCAGCTCAAAGTCAGGTCAGGTCAAAATTTTACTTGAAATATTTTCATTTTCTAAACCTTTCTGGATTAAAAAGTAGAAAAAACGCCGGACTGAGTGAACTGATAATTGAAATTAGCTTTTACACAGAGTTGTTGACCGTGGTGGCAAAACTGATTAGAATTATTCATGATCCGAAACTTGGTGTCAGAACTGATAATCCCATACATTCTTACCAATTTTCGATCACTCGTATTTCTGTTAAAAAAGCATTAGTGATCCTTTAATTTAGATATTCTCTTGAGGATAATAATAATATTCCGCTAATTATGCCTGTAAATAGCATTTTTAGAATATCACGTGATCAGTGAAAACCAAGAATAGTCCCATGGGATGAAAAAAACGGTTGAGTGAAATTTACTGACAAACAACACCTTATATRGATGACCATTGTTATGAAAGAAACATTCTAATTTATAAAAGTTTTAAAGAGATCAGTCTCTCCATTCATTTCTTTTCTTTCTATATCGTGTTTATCATGGTGCCATGCGGTCTTCACTTCATATCTTTACAGTCTCTCCATTCAGTTCGCCACACCTTTCAATCTGGAAAGAGCTCATCACGACAGATTGTAAGTAGTAAGGGTTGTTGTATTTCAGGCTCATGGACATTGTCTTTTGCTCTCTTTTATCTGATAGTATATTGTTCTTAGCGGGTCAATAGTTTGTTTTCTTTATTTTCAGCTTGTTTTCCTTAAAGTTCACTGTTCAAAATGAGACTCACTTTAGCTTTGGTTGTGATTGTCCTGACGTCCTGCTTTCTGAGCATCGAGGCAACAAGACCCTCCTATTCGGAAGAGTTGCTCAAACTTGACCAGGTATGTTGGAACGCAGGCTAAAAAGAAGCGCGTCTTGTAGTCCGTTTTGAGACCGCTTTTATGCGAGTTTTGATTGTGCACGTTAAAAGCCACTTCGCGCATAAGAGCATTTAATTAAAAAGAAAATTATCTGGAACTCGAATTGTTTACATATGTAGTTATATCTGTAGTGATTACTAAGCAAGGCATGAGCTTTAAAAAGGAATAAAAACTAGTCAGCAGGCGTGGAGCGTCCTTTACGCATATACGCACGTGCGTACTAGTGGCAAGGAAATATTAAAAGTATCACAAAAATTACTGAAAAATTCACATAAAATTGACTTCCCTTTTATATGCCTTCATGTCTCTCAAAACGCTGGAAATCGTATTGCAAAGAGTTATTATTTCAAAGTTTCCTGGGGAAGTTGAAGAATCCCTTAATACTCCCGTCTTTGGAGGTCGTTAGATCCCCACTTCCAAAATATGTGTCGAGGTCCCTGGCATGTGCGTACTAGCCAAAAAGTCCGCGCTACGCGCCTGCTCAGGTTCGAAGGAATAGGTCTGTGTTTTTTTTTTCGCGAAGCGGCACTTAAGAACGAGCAGACAGTAAGTTCATTTTAGTCATTGAGTTTGTCAAGATATGTCAAAATTTTAAAAAGTTTAAAAATGTTTAGTGAGACGTGGAATTTAGACCTTT